GTTTTCGCCGCTTGCCCAAATCTCCGTGTGGTCGGACGGGCTGGTACCGGCGTCGACAACATAGATCTTCAAGCTGCCACACGTAAAGGAGTAATCGTATTAAAGTACGTATACAATCCCAAATTTCTATCTTCTCCGTAATACAGATAAAGAAGTTGAGAAATAGAGTGTATTTCTTACCACGAGAATTTGACATAACAGGTCTTCTCAAGTGTATCAATTCTAAACGAGAAACTTCCATTTGACATTTTATTCGAAAAAATGGTAAAAATCGATTTGAGAAAAGCGTAGTTAAAAGCTGTAGTTAAAAAGCGCCTCTCAATCTCAGCTCTTTTTCGCCTGAAAGACTCTTATATAATGGTTCTCCAATAATTTATTTTACAAGGTTTGCTGGAATCCCGTCAAATAGTAAAAGAAATTTTCTTTCGCCAGACTAGTTATTTAATTAGCATCTCTGCACGATTTATTTAATTAATTGAATCTTGAATTATCCCAGGTAGCAAGGTGACGTCTAATTGACGTCTAACAGACGTCAATTAGACGTCATTAAGACGTCATTTGACGTCACTCTGTTACTGGGGTCTCTATAATCGAGATCAAACTCAAGTAACACAAAAAAGCGACTAAAATAAAAAATATCGCAATTATTTCGTGGCCGAACCTACAAATTACAATGTCTGGCACGTAATTTTATCATTTTTTTTTTATAATTGCAGTACCCCGGGAGGCAATAGTATCAGCGCTTGCGAGCTAACATGCGCCCTGATCTCCTCCCTCGCGCGCAACGTCGCGCAAGCCGCACAATCGCTGAAAGAGGGCCGATGGGACCGGAAACTGTACTCCGGATACGAGCTGTCCGGCAAGACCCTCGCGATCCTCGGAATGGGTCGCATAGGCCGCGAGGTAGCCTACAGAATGCAGAGCTTCGGCATGAATATCGTCGCCTTCGATCCGATCTTGAAGGACGAGACCGCCGCCGAGCTCGGCATCAAAAAACTCAGTCTGGAGCAGATATGGCCTATCGCCGACTACATCACCGTTCATACGCCGCTCATACCTCAAACCAGAAGTACGAATCGAATCAGTTTGAATATATTAATTTGATGCTGAAAGGTCAAAGCGAGAAAGAAAAACACGGAGTTTCGAATTTTTAAGCAGAGTAGAAGCAATGGCTTCGACACACTTTTTTCATCTGAAAAGAAGTTCTTTAATTTCTTAAAAAACTCAGAAACTTTATTT